AGAGGGCTCATCTTTGTCACTGAGTAGCAGCACAAACGGGGCTTAAATTTTTAGTGTAAGCCCAAATTCCGGTTCCAGAAGGCACCTGAATACATGGGACGCATTTATTTGTACAGTAAAAGGTTCCCTGTGCATTAGCTATAAAAACGATTCTGCTGTGCTTTGCCAGATTGGGGGTGGGGCGAAGATATGCGGTACATGTCACCGCTGCTCGGAAGGGACCAAGTGGGGTACAGAGCATTGGTGCGTGCCCGATTCAGTCAGATGAATTCAGCATGCAATTTAAACTTCCGGACCGATCGTTTATATATACAATGAGAAAGTTGTTTTAGGCATAATTTTACACCGAACGCAGGCAACCGGAGGAGTCTACACTCTGCTACAAAAGATACTGCCACCTGATATAAACGCGAAGCCGGATCTCTATAAGGTGAAAAAAGACATCACAAGTAGTTCCAATCACCTAATTATTTATGTGATGTTCCGCAGACCTCAAGTTTTAGACCTAGGATATGTTAGAGACCATTTAAACACGCAGCTCAGCGGTTGGCGCATTTCGCAGACAATCTAACGCAGTCGTTCTGTCTTCGGGGCACGCCGTCTCCTATCTCTAGCATCGATCCATGACAGTCGGTTAGGGGATGCGTCGTTTCTGTCGTGAACACTGGGGGTGTGCTTTCATTGTCTATGAAAATTTATGGACACCACTACTTGCGTGTCCGGCAGCCGTAATGCGTAAGGTGCAAGCGAGTGGAACCGTAGTCTTTGTAGACAAGTCCGCTATTCACAACGGTCTCTAGTCGATAAAGATTAGGAACTCGACCACGTTATCACAATATCGTTCGCAACTACTAGGATGCACATATTTTTCCTACTTCTGTGAAGCGTTATCAATGTTTTCAGTTTGTCTGGTCTAAAAATTAAACCAGTATCAACTCTAATTATACCATACAACCCGGATTGACTGCCTGAGTAGAACATTCAATCAATAGCAGTCAATACGCCTCCGCTGTATGCTCGATGCAAATGAAGGTGGTCCTGGTATAGAGAATAAGTAGATAACAGCAAGTGCAAAAAATGATTGAAGTGTTTCACCACATTGTTATAAGCTGCACATGCATACATTACCCACTTCCGTAGTAGGATTCTTCTCTAGTCGAGTTCTTCTTTGTCCGTTGCGGTCCGTGTCTATCAAATTCGTTGAACACAGACTGTGGTTACACGGATAAGTTCGTTTATTTGCTTAATGAGTTCCACGCTAAACAACCACTTGGTTTTAAAGTACATGGACCGTGGCATTAAAAACATAGCGTAAGTTGCAGCTCCAGAAAGATTGTTGATTTTATCAGCTCCAACGCGGCCGACGTCGTACACATTTCGTCGCATCCGACGCATGTCTCTCAGAATTAACCCGATCTACCTAAATCAAGCATCGTCGATGTTATTTACATCAACCGCGGCCAACGGCCAGATTCTCCAAACAACGTAAGAAAAGATAGTTTGGAACAAGTTAAGGTAGGGTGTGAACGTGGCCACGATTTGCGAGGGGGTATTTTAACAGTATAATGGATAGAGTTGTAGTTCCAAAGTGGACTGTGATACGTTGGACATGAAGTGAAAATGACATAATTCCGCTTTGAGAACATATAGTTGTGTGGAAGATATTCACAATGAACAATGATTTATCACGGGATAAAAGCAAGTGCTTGACACACCCCGTAGGATGGTTGCGGTGAATACGATGAAATCAAAATATGTCTGGGTCATCTATCGAACGTTTGCCGAGACGAATAGTTTGATAATTAACATCAGTGTAAAATTAAAATAAATTATCGAGCGTAAACGTTCAGAAAGACACTGGGGTGCAGTGATCGTTGAGGTAAGGAGTGAGAAAAGTAAAATATGGTCGCTCACTCAGGTCCATTTGATACATAAATCCTGTTGAAAAGCATGCTTGGCGTAATCCACAACAGAGGAGTTTAGGTAACAAAATGTTGGAAGCTAAGAGCAACATCTAGTCGTTTTTTCCCACTCTAGCTGCATAATCTCATGCATGCGAGTGGAGCGGGTCCTGATAGTGGTTCATTCGTGTTGTCTCTAAGACCACAAGTGATATAACAGATGAGGGAATTTGCAAATAGATTAGAAGCAGTGGAGATGATTCTCGTAACGGACTGATCAGGCAACGTGCTTGACGGTATGAGCACACAGATACACTGATTTATCACTTGATTGCGCTGAGATAAGAGAGCAAAAAACGGTAAGTAAAGTCATAAAGTCAAGTTAATTGAAAAGCCACACACAACCTGGTTAATGTAAGGAAACTTTGGTATTGGACTTGAACTGTTTTTAACAGTTGCTGAACTAAGTCTGTCTGGAAACAGCTTCATAGTTTAGTGATCAGGCTGTGGTAGCGATTCTTGAGTTCATTTTAGTTACCAGAATAACTTTTGCTTACAATAGCAGAGACAAACGGAAACAATAAAATGTCCTTGCACAGCAGTGCCTTAAGCGAGGTCATGCCTTACATTACTTAAATCAATTATTGTCTTACGAAGCAGGCAATTGCGGACCGTACTGTCTGTACTACTTGCGGCACTCACCAAGGCAAGTTCCAACCAAGAACTGAGGTAGATGACGATGTGTTAATAGGAAACATTACATTCCACTCACACAGTACTAATCTATCCTGGAGTCGACAATTACCGACCAAAGGCTCTGCAGGCAGTAGCTAGGGATCTAGCAGAACCACTGGCTGTTTTCTATCAGTGATGTCTAGATGAGAACTATATTCCACAGTATGGAAGCAAGGGGTCATCACTTCTATATATAAAAGAGGTAGCCGCACTGACCCTACCAACTACCGTCCAATAACACTACTTCCCGTACTATCCAAAATTATTGAATCTATCATGGCAGATGCGCTGATGCAGTATCTGGAAAGCCACAACTTAATAACCCCAGAGCAACATGATTTTCGTCAGAAGCGCTCATGCAATACCAACCTATTAATTGCAGGTAATCGCTAGGCTGAAGGCGTTGATGACTGAGCAGGAGTCGATATCATCTAACTAGAGTTTTCAAAAGTGTTTGATCGCTTAGACCATCGAATTCTCCTTCAGAAGTTTCGGAACTACGGAATTGGCGACCCACTCCTGAGTTAGATACGCCATTTGCCACAAGAACGACGACCAATGGTGAGAGTCCGAGAATCATTGTCCGATGCAATAGATTTGGTGTGTGGTGTACCACAAGGCTCGGTACTTGGACCTCGTCTATTCTTGGTGTTCATTAACCATTTGGCGAGATCAATTACTTCCGATTTCCTATTTTTCGCCGATGACATCAAGATATGGAGAAGGATCAGTGGACCGGACGACCATGAACGGCTCCAGTGCGATCTTAACACAGTGTCGAACTGGTCAGCTCAAAACGCCATACCGTTCAACGTAGACAAATGTCGCGTAGTACAATTACGCCATAGACATAACTACATCTATTTACTTGGGACAAACGGATTGCAGACCAGCTGCCAGGAACGTGACGTTAGTTTGCTCGTACAGAGCAAACTTAACTGCTCAAAACGGGCTGAGGTAGCTGCGAAAAATCAACCAGCACGTCGGCATGCTGCGAAGGGCATTCGGGAGATTTGACCCATCAATCTTCCCAATGATACGCAATTCCTACGTGTACCCACATGTTGAATATGCTTTCCAAGCTTAGCAACCTTGGTTGAAACGCGACCTAGAGGCGTTAGAGGCGCCACAATGAACAGCAACAAAGAATGTGAAGGGGCCTGCGCTATCACTCTTATAACTGAAGGCTGAAGTTGCTGGGAATTTTCAGCGGACGGTATCGAATGCTGCGCGGCGATCTCCTATTAGCGTATCAGATATTGAGTGACCCCAAACACGTATGCCGTCACTTGCTGAAACTTAGCCACAACACGCAGCTCAGGGGTAACTGCTTAAAATTGAAGGAACAATATAGCCGTCTAGATTGTCGACGGAATTACTTTTCCGTTCGGGTTTGCCAGCCCTGGAACGCACTCCCAGACTCAGTTGTATCCTCTCCTACCTTGGATGTTTTCAAAAAAAAACGATTAGATGTTGCTCTTAGCTCCCAACACTTTGTTACCTAAACTCCTCTGTTGTGGATTACGCCAAACATGCTTTTTAACAGGATTTATGTATCAAATGGACCCAACTGAGCGAGCATGTCTTCATTTTCTCACGCTTTATATCAACGACCACTACGCTCCAATGTATTTCTAAAGGTTTACTCTTAATCTTTTTAATGTTATGCTGATGTTATCAAATTATTCATCTCGGTAGACGTTTGTTAGATGACCCACATAGAATTTGATTTCATCGTATTCACCCAAGCCATCCTACGGGACGTGTCAAGCACTTGCTTTTATCCAGTGCTAAATCATTGTTCATTGTTTATTGCGTCGAGAATTGCTTTTAAAACAGGTGACCTCTGCACGTAACATGGGTGAATCGGTGATCCGAATCTCGTGCCTCATTCAAAAATACATACTGCAGTCGTGTGACCATGTAGTTGTGGGGAATGACGAATTAAATCAACCAGAGTTGTCTGGAATTTGAAATGGTAGGTCTTTGGTTTAAATCCCAACTTGGTAAAGTAAGCTGACTCGATTGATACTGGATTCGTATTCCCTATTTGCTATCGTAGTGTACAGCGGAGGCCGCGTATAAATCTTTACTTGTGTCTGAACTTCAAAGCCATGGAACAACTGGAGTAGAAAGCGGTCCGACTGCTCCAATTGCAAGTATTCCACGTTGCATACATGCTGCGGATGAGAAATCCTCACCCTATCTTTGTACAACACACCAAATTAATCTCATTCGTTTGCTTGAATACACTCCACCGCTACACCGTAGAGCACTACCGCGATCAAAATAGCAGCAAATTTTCACATCGTTTCGCTTCCTTTTCTGTCCACCCCATTCCACACGTCCGCTCGATCAATAAAGACAAATCCGCAAGCAGCAGTGCCAAAGATGACCGCGATAGAAAACTCAAACTGTTCCCCGTCGCACGCAAACAACGCATACGTCAACGCGATACTGCCGAGGCGCTGCCTGGAAGACAGGAAGTCGGAGAAGCTGTTTTTGAAGCCGGTATGTCAAAGCTGGGTGGCCTGTTGGTGACAGATACTTATACTAGACGCAAAAGATCCAACGATGATACAGCAGAGTACATTTTGAAGGAGTTTTTTATACCCAAAAGTAGGCCATTTTCTGACAGATTGGTTACGATAGAAAGCTTTATGGGCAGATGTTCACTTCAACTACCTCAGACGAAGTTAGGTTCTTTAGACACCAATTCCCAGGAGACGTTGAAATGCGCTTCTGAGCCCATTGAATTGCTATCCCCATTTGATGGCATAGTGATCGACTGGGATCATTTGGAAGGAGTTTCTACAGAACAACTTTGGATGTATTTCGAAACGGCGCTAAACAATGAGACGTTCAGTCAAGCTATAGAAGACCCAGCACCTGCTTCATCGAGCATCCATTCCATTGTAAGCTGGCGTCGACTGGTGGCCGATCCGAGGGTTTCAACTAGTAAACCAGAAACTAGAACAGCAGACCGATATCTTCAGCGTGGCTCGAAACGAACCTGGACCAGAAAAGCGGATTCAAGGGTGCCGGGAGGAGCTGCGGTTAAGATTACCCTTAGCATACACCTTTTGATCTTCATTGTGATCAGTATGCAACCAATACGATGACTGCACAATTTAATACCGAGTTTTCTTTTCAACATTACCACTTTCTTGCAACTGACTTTGAACTTGTAATTGCCCTTTCAATTGTTATATTAAAGTCAAGTACTGTGGAAGTTTGGTTTCTTTATCTAGATCCTGAAACACTAACCTCTGAAAGCGTGCCTCTGTAGCGAATGTGCGAGGGTGCTTTCTAGTTTGGCAGTCTATACAGCAAAACCTCCAGCCCTTCCCTAAAAACTTGTTGAAGAGTGTTTCTTCGAAGAAAACGGTTAATTGCTTGCTCGTCCACCGCTATTTGTTCGAAGGTATCCGATTAGAAACAACTATGAGTAAACTCTGCGCTTTTGAACACACTACGAATTAGCATTTTGCGGGTGGCGTTGGAATCGATCTTGGAACTTTCCAATAGTGAAGTATCATCCACCGAATTGGCTGGAGCGTCTCGATGCTGACAAACATAGCGTAAAATGTAGGTTCAGCGGCTCTACACGTACGCTTGGTTCTCCATCACGTTGGACCAGTGAAAAACTTCACATCAAGGTGCACATATTGAATGGAGCTGTTGTGAAACCCTTGTGCCACACCACCTCCGGTGGCACATGTTAGGTGTACCGATGAGCACCATGCCTAAATGGTGTGCAGCCAAAATAGAGCAAAATTTGTACTGCGAAGGAGAAAGGTCCTGTCCTTATCGGTGACATTGTGTATGGATAATGCATTCATCGTGTAGACGTAGACGGTATAGAGCATAAGGGGACGTATAGCGCGTAGATCGTGCGCTATATATCCGGTACGCGACTAGACGGCCAACCAAAAGCAATGGGTAGAAGACACAAAAGTAAGCTAGGGAAGAAGTTTATTGGACGGGAGGAGCGTTAGCTAATGCTAAAAATAGGGCACCCGGAGAGAGCTAGCTAGGGAGAATGTCGTTGGCGTCGAGAGCGTAGACGGAGCGTCGTTCGCAGTCGAGTCGCGCGCCAAAGGCGGAGATCGTTTTCGTGTTTCCAACAAACGGGAACAACGTTCCAACAGGCAAACCGAATAGTTCCCTAATACATAAGAAAGCTATAATTTGAATATTTTAGAATAGTTTACACAGTCATACGGGGGAATCTCCAGGTCGCTACACAGCCCTCCTCCTAGAAGGGAAACCGTGGGTGACCCTTCGATCTACGTGAGGACTGTCCGTCGCGGGCCAGCCTTCTGCGAGACCAGGTAGTGAAACCTGATGCAGCTGCTGGGGGAGAACCAGGCGATCGGACCCTAGCGGGCTCCCACCCGTGTCCTCCCTAACGGTGCCAAAAACACAAAATGGGGGAAGTTCGTAAGCGTTAAATGTTCGCGAGTTCGTGAAGGTCAAATGTTCGCTTCAGACTCGGCATCTCCTCCGGTTCATACATGGAAGATAAACGGAAACAAGGGTAGTGACGGTGAAGGCGAGGGCAAAAATAAGAGTGACACTTACCGGATGAGGTAGGCGTCAAGCGAAACGTAACTCCTTTCATGTGTTTTCAAAACGTTTTCTTCTTTTTTGGGTTTTCAAAACGTTTTGCGTTCTTTTGGGTTTTCAAAAAGTTTTGTCGGTTTTTTAGCGTTTTCAAAAGCTTTTGCCGATTTTTTGGGTTTTCGTACGTGGTTGGCCAAAAGGGAAAAGGAAAACAATAAGGAAAGTGAAAGAAACACTAATCCCTTAATCGCGCTGGCCAATGAACGCGTCTACCCGACCTAGTCGACTTGTGCGAATCAGAGGAAGGCGTCGTCTTAGACATCCTATCGGATCGCAAAATTGGAGGAACTGCTGAAGAAGTGGCGGTTGGTTCGATGGGAAACGGCGGAGCTGAAGTGGAAGGCTTGGTTGGAACGTGATGCTTGGGTTCAGGGATGTTGGAAGCATGCGAGTCTTCCATCATAGGCTGGGTTGATTCTTCAGAAGACGAGCAAGGGTCTTCATCGAGCTCAGGTTCCACGTGGGCAACCTTGAGACGGTCAATCGTAACGGCTTCTCGTTTACCGTGACGGTCGATGATAAAAACGCGGTCCTTACGCTGCAGGACCTTGAAAGGACCTTCGTAAGGTCGCTCCAGTGGTCTGCGGAGACCATCGAGGCGGAGAAAAACGAACGGACAATGCTGCAGGTCTTGTGGAATAAAAGATTTACGTTGTTGTTCTCTAACGTCGGGAAGCTTGTACTGACGCATGCTCGTGGCTAGCTGACGTGCATAATTTGCGTCGTAACGGGTAATTCTGGGACTAACGGAGAAGAAATCGCCAGGTAAACGCAGTGGTTGTCCATATACTAACTCGGCGCTAGACGTACGTAGATCGGCCTTTAGGGCTGATCGGATCCCAAGGAGGATCATAGGCAGCACCTCAGTCCAACTCAGCGCATTGGCGGCGCTAAGTGAGGCTTTCAACTGTCGGTGGAAACGTTCCACCATGCCGTTCGCTTGCGGATGATAGGCGGTCGTGCGAATGCGTTGGCATCCAATGAGTTTAAGGAGATCGTTAAAGGTCGTAGATTCGAATTGCGGACCGCGGTCTGTAGTCACTGTGGCTGGACAGCCGTGTGAAGCGACCCAGCGCTCGACGAAAGCGCGCGTTACGGTTTCCGCAGCTACGTCAGGGATGGGAACGGCTTCGGGCCAACGGGTGCAACGATCGATCATGGTCAAAATGTAGACCATTCCTTTGGACGGGGCCAGAGGTCCCACTATGTCGAGATGGACATGGGCAAATCGCGCTGAAACGGACGGAAAGCGACCAAGCGGAGCGGACACGTGCCGCTGAATCTTGGCTTGCTGGCAGGTGAGACAGCTGCGTGCCCAACGCGTAAGATCGCGTTGCATCCCCGGCCAAACGTATCTCTCAGAGACAAGCTTAGCAGTAGCTTTAATGCCTGGGTGGGCGATATTGTGGAGGGTGTCGAAAACGATACGGCGAAAAGTTTCTGGAACGACGGGTCGAGGTCGTCCGGTAGATGTGTCGCATAAAATGGTACCATCAGATGACGGCAAAGGGTGCGGGGATATCTTCAAAGAAGAATCGCGGAGTTCCGAAAACTTTGGTCGTTTGATTGCGCGGCGGCCATAGCAGACAAATCGATTGCCTGCCCGGCAGGGCGATCGCAGATACTCTTGAAAGAGCATCAGCGACGACGTTTTGTTGACCAGAAATGTGTCGGATATCAGTCGAGAATTGGGCAATGAAATCCAGCTGACGAATCTCACGTGGTGAGTGTCGAGCTGATTGATTTCGGAATGCGTAGGTAAGCGGCTTGTGATCGGTGAAGATAATGAAGGTGTTACCTTCGAGGACGTGTCGGAAATGTCGAACGGTAGAGTAAACGGCCAGCAGTTCGCGACTGAACGTGCTGTACTTGACTTCGGCAGGTTGTAGGCGTCTAGAGTAGAATGCAAGAGGTTTCCAGCCCCCATTTGTATGTTGCTGTAGGACGGCGCCAATGGCGGTGTCCGATGCGTCAACAGCAACACTGAGCGGAGCATTCGGATCGAAATGATGAAGCATAACGGCTTTGGCTAAGGCTTCTTTGCTGGCTTTAAAGGCTTCAGCAGCAGCGGCAGTCAGTTCCACCTGACCGTTTTTACGTCCACGAAGTAGGTCGGTTAGTGGACTTAGCAAATTGGCACAGTGTGGAAGAAAACGTCGATAGTAGTTGAGCATGCCGTTAAAACGGCGAATAGCGGCTAACGTAGTCGGGACCGGAAAGTCTCTGATGGCGCGGACTCTATCGTCTAGAGGCCGTATACCATACTGATCAATATGGTGGCCAAGGAATTCGACGGAAGGCTGCTGAAATACGCATTTGTCAGGGTTGACAGTGATGCTATTAGCGGCCAGCCTATCGAAAAGTATTTTGAGATGTTCTGCGTGCTGTTCTTTAGAAGCGCTGGCAACTAGGATATCGTCGATGTATGCATAGACGAAATTTAGACCTCTAGTGACTGAATCGATGAGTCGTTGAAAAGTCTGGGCTGCGTTGCGAAGACCGAACGGCATACGCAAAAATTCGAACAGCCCAAACGGCGTGATTACGGCAGTCTTCGGTATGTCTTCCTCAGCGACTGGAATCTGGTGATACGCGCGAACCAGATCGATTTTCGAGAACACACGGGTGCCGCGCAGGCTTGCCGTGATGTCCTGAATGTGAGGAATCGGATATCGGTCGGGAACAGTAACGCTATTGAGCGCGCGGTAATCACCACATGGACGCCAGTCTCCTGACTTTTTGGGCACCATGTGGAGCGGCGACGCCCAGGGACTTTTAGACGGGCGAACGATGCCTAGTTCAAGCATATGCTCGAATTCTGCGCGAGCAATTTTTAGCTTGTCAGGGGTCATTCTCCTGGCTTTGGCGAAAACAGGCGGACCTTTGGTAACGATATGATGTTTTGCAGCATCAGTGGCAGATGGAAAGGGTGCCATTGCACGAAAGACTTGCGGAAATTTGGTATTAAGCATCTGACCGATAGGTGAGCTTGACTGGTTGGCGTATACAGGACTGATTGACTCAATGTCGGTCAAAGTACCTATAACTGCCAGATTTGTTTGACGATCGATCAGACGGCGTTGCTTCGCGTCAACAAGCAAATCGAAGTGCTGCAGAAAGTCAAGGCCAAGAATTGGCGTCTGGACATCTGCGACGAGAAAGATCCATTTAAATGAACGTCGTAGGTTTAAATTAAGCGTGCGCGAGCGTTGACCATACACGCGAATGGTGGTGCCGTTTGCTGCGCGCAATGAACTAGTCGCCTCTTCGATAACATCATTAGAATCACGGGGGATAACGCTGACTTCTGCGCCGGTGTCAACGAGATAGCGTACTCCCGTACTGTGATCAGTGACAAAGAAAAGGCGACTGGGGCAGCCAGCAACGTCCGTCGCCCCTACGTGCTGGCCGGCCCGTTTCCCTGCGTGTTGCGCTTGAAGGAACAAGGCGGGCGACACGATCTGGCCTGATGACCAAATCGCTCGTGGTACCAACA